GATTGAAAGAACAACCCACGATGAACGTTTGTAGTGTTAACTGTACAATCTGTCTTAACTGATTGGTGTCACTAATACACTGTGTGAATTGAACAGATCACATAGATGATAAGTTTGTTTTATACTGATCAACTAAACAAACTAGATCTCGATTAATTACTTCATTGATTGAGGGTCCAATGACTTAATAAAAAATTAAACTTTACAACCTTGATTAATTTAAGAAGATCACTTCATGACTTATTTGCTCGTGATCTTTCTAGAAGTTCAAATTATACCTGAATAACATGAGTCGAGATTTGAAAGTTTATTCTCAAATAAAACTCTTTGATATATTATGAACATGAATGATTGGTGTTCGCCACAAAGTCATTCTCGAATTTATATCATGTTGGGCTTGACTTTATTGACACAATTCGGCGGTTTATAAATCTTTGATTCTAAATTGAATACCAGATTTCACTTAGCATGCACTTTAATCTTTAAATAATAACTTGAATTTTCAAGATCGTTAATTTTTAGATTTGCTATCAGTTGGAGAATAGAAGGGCTCAGAGTTTAATCATATATAAGAATTCCACAAAGGAACTTAAGGGGGGAAATCGGAACCCTAGGTCGGACTCTCGCCAGTGCCCAGGGCTCGAGAATCATGAGCAGTGTTATAAAAGTTGCTAGGCGCCCGCTAGGCGCTCGACCAGCACCTAGAGTGTCTAGTCGGGGCCTAGGCGGCGCTTAAGCGGGACCAAGAAATCAACATTGAATACTTTATTTATTATTTATTTTAACTACATATAAAATAAAATTATCTCAACTTATAATAAATCCACACACCTAAATCCAAATAACAATAGTAATAAAGAAAACAATAGAACAAACTAATGCAATTAGTATTTAAAAAAAAAAAAACTGAAATATTGCCACCGAGTCTTCCTAGGCCCGCCTAAGCGCCGCCAACAGTCTGCCCGCCGAGCCCGCTAAGTCCGCCTAAGGCCGCCTAGCACCTGGTCGATTTTTTCGGCCGATTATGCAAATCGGAGACGGTCGGGCACAGTCTAGCGCCTTGGCGCTGGCTAGGCCAATTTTTAGAACAGTGATCATGAGTTGGAGTCCCGACCTCCACGCATCTAGAGACGGAGGAAACCCCTAAGTACGATACGGGACCTCAGGTCAGACTCCCGCCCAAAATCCAAGTCGGTTTTTCAGAGATATAGGTTGATCTGAAGACGAAGATATAGGAGCTGTAACTGACAATCCGACCCCAAGGCGTCACCGAGGTTGGATCCCGAGGGCGCACTAAGGAAGAAAAATTAAAATGAGTCCACTTCAGTCTGATAATGACCAATGGGACGTGGCCACTTGTCGTGCAGACCTATGACCCCTAGGCCCCTAGTGTAGCATGTCCGCATAAAATACCTATCATTTAGCATTAAATTATGTAACTCGTTAAACAATAACCAGACATATACTATAAATAATTTTAGAAATCCATTTTGAAAGGGGACTGGTCGAAAAATTCTCTTTGTAACAGACAAAAATTCTCTACATTAAATACCACGTATAAGGCGACGGACCGACCTCAATCGCCGGAAAGTTCAACATCATAAAAACCCATTTTTGCGGTTCTAATCCTCTATAATCTACACAAAATCTATAATTTGAGTTGGTCAAAACCGTTTACACAAAATCTATAATTTGAGTTGGTCAAAACCGTTATCAACAAAATCATAGTTGACTTTCAATATTCTAAAAGTTAGTGAATTTAGACTTGAATTATGATTTTTTTTTTTTACTTTAACAATAATGATCCATATTTATAGGTGTATAGACTATAGTGAAAATCCTACCATACCTATTGGATGAAAGATTAAATTTTGATTAGTTCTTCGTAATTTGATATGATCTGTGTCCATACATCTAAATGTGACTCAATGGACAACAAAATATTTATTTTAGATTTATGTCAAAAAATAATTATAGCCCAAATTAATAAAAATATTTAATAATTTAAGCTTCAGTGTTTGTCTAAAGTTACGATTTGCTACACTGCAAGATGTTAATTGTTAGTTCTCTTTAATTATTCGTTATTGTCTTCCTTGATTTTCTTATATATTGCACGCATTAAATAAACACTCATTGTACACGTATCAATACATTATGTGATGGCGACTCCATAAAAAAACTATCTAATTGTTCCATAGAATTTCAGGAGATGTTGTAGCTACATGTTACTATCAAATCAATTTTGTAATGTAAAAAATGCACAATAAAGTAGATTTCTTTAAGAGGGCCTAGGGCTGCAAATGAGCCTAGCCGAGTCGAGCATTGGCCTTATCGAGCAGGATTCAATTTTTTTTTTCTGCTGCTCGAGCTCGTCGAGCTCGACTCGATAAAAAAATACAAGAGCTCGACTCGAGCTCGACTCGAATTCAAGATGCTCGAGCTCGGCTCGAGTTCGGTTCGAATTTTTTCAAACAATTTTGTAAAATAACCATTAAATACATATATGTACAAGAGTATTTAGTAATTTCATATATCTTGAGCCGCTCGCGAGCCGCTCGACAATGTAAAATATAGGCTCGAGCTCGACTCGAGTTCCTTCTCGAGCCGCTCAAGTTGAACTTTGACTCGAGCGCTCGCGAGCGGCTTGCGAGCTGCTCGACTCGTTTGCAGCCATCCATGTGAGTAGCTGACTAGTGTTACTATTAAATATATATTCAATAGCTAATTGGGGTGTCGTGTAAATCATTATTAAACAAATATAACCCCGTTATAAATTTTTTAACATATATATAATATAAAATATTACATTTTCGTTTATATTATTTTTATATCATATTAATCCAATTTAAAATATTTATAAACATATATACATATATATATATATATATATTAAAATTGTATGAAGTCAACTTAACCTATTTTTTTTTTTTTTT